CCCAGAGCTGGCTCCCCAGGCGCCACTCCCCAGCTCTGTTTCCCAGGCTCCCCAAAAAACAATCTTCCCCTACAGGCTCCGCTAGCGACCCCAACTGGGCAATCCCATGCACTGGGCTCAACAATCAAACTCACAGATTTAAGAGGAAGTGTGTAAACAAGAGCCTGGGAAAGCTGTGCGAACTCAAGGGGCTCCACCTTCCAGATTTGCGCAGAGTCTCTGCGAGCGCTCTGGGCCCTGGCACCAAGTAGCAGGCCGGCTGGAAGATTCTGAGGCTGCCCCTTTGCATCCAGTCCAACTATGGGCTTATTTATAGTGTTACCTTCTGTGAGCAGGCCTGCGGGAGCCCTCCCCACTTGCGGGTCACGCTGGCCTCAATGGGCGCGGACTTTGTGGGGCGCAGATTTCCCCCGCGCACACGCGCGTTCCTCGCTCCAACCTGAATTGCAAACTGCACGTTTGGGGGGAGTCTAACCTTTCCGTGGAGGGAAGCAGGTCTCCTCTGAGTTCATGTAGTCGCGCTGCTTGAGAGCCGTTGCCTCCGGGTTAGTAGCCGATCTCTGGATGCGGATAACAGCTGCTCAAGATCGGAATTATTAAATCTCATTTCTTATTCATTCAACTGTTGTTTGCCTGCTTTGGGTGTGGGATGGTTTGGCATGGAGCCTTAGTTGTCACCTATGCAGAAGCCTTTAAAGACCAAAAAGAGGCAGAGGACAATGATTTCTTAGTCCTTTGAAGCAGGATTTTATTTTTAAGAAAAATACTTTGGTTCAGTCGGGATACTATTAGTGATGTATTTGACATGATTGGAAAGTTGCAAATTAACTTTTTCCCCCCTTTTATAACAGACATGGAAGAAAGAAGGATTTTTTGCTCTATATAAAGGGTTTTGGCCAAATTGGTTGAGACTTGGTCCTTGGAATATCATTGTATCCTTTTCTGTTGTAGTAGATGTGAAAAAAGATAGCTAAAATATTGTTTGTGTAAACTATCATGTTGTTATAATTTAGAAGTTGATTTTTAGTCTTTTATGTTCCTCTGATTCAAGAAGTAACTGTTCAGTTCTTTTAAAAATATGTTTTTATTGATTTCAGAGAGAAGAAGGGAGAAGGAAAGAGGGATAGAAACGTTAATGATGAGAGAGGATTATTGATCGGCTGCTTCCTGCATAACCCCTACTGGGGACCAAGCCTGCAACCCAGGCATGTGCCCTGACCAAAAAGCGAACCTTGCATGACCTCCTGATTCATAGGTTGATTCTCAACCACTGAGCAACACCAGCTGGGCTGTTCAGTTTCTTTTTCAGGAGGTATAAAATCTCTGTGCTAGGCACTATGAATCTTGGTTTAATGATGGTGTTATTGAAAGGTAATGATATCAATAAAATTTTTTACTTAGACTATTCTAAAAGCTTAGAGTATTTTAAGATTTCAGAGAGAGTCCGGGTTGATTTTATCCCAGCCACCCTTGGGAAGGAAGTGGTTTGGTTGCAGTGTTCTAGAATGTTTATTTTAGAGAGTACCAAAGGATAAATAGTAATTAGCTCTAGAATTATTCGGCCTGTCAGCACTATTTCCTGTATGCCAAAGTGGGGGGTAGGAAAGAAGTGGCAGTTCATTAGACATGAAAGGGCAGAATTATAAGGAAGGGAATGTTGGTGTCACCATCCCCTTATTTCTCTTTATCTGTCCCTC